TGAGAAATTTTAAAAAATTCCACTTTTCGAGTTCCACTTTTCAAAAATGCAACTTTTTNAAAAAAAAAAAATTCATTATATCATTTATGTTTGGGTTAATTATGTTGTATTAGGGTTTAGTTTTGAGGGTTAAGAGGTTTTAAGGGTCAAAACATTTTTTAGGGTTTATAATTTTAAGATTTAGGTTTTAAAAATCCATAATTAGTGGCATTTTTGCATATGGACACCCCTAAATGACATTCTTGCAAATATATATACCAAAAATGTCATTTTTGCAATTGCTCCATATATATTTCTATATTCCTAATTTGGAATTTTGTTTACAGTTAACAAATTAATTTTCGTAAGATTAAGATGCTTGACGTTGAGGGTTCATTTGGAGGAAAAATGCACTAAATGTAGAAGCAAACAAACAATTAAGACCTAAATCACATATATATGGTTAGAGTTACCATAGAGATGTCACCAGCCATGACAACATATGACTTTGGTGGGAGTTGAAGGGAAATCCATTCACCGTCTTTCGATTTGACCTCTAAACCATTCACATCATTTTGGTGAAGTATCGATAAGAAGGTTTTGTCTGTATGCTGAGGAAAAGCCTGCATTGAGGTACACTCTGGTGGAGCCAAGTACTTGAGGAATTTGAGTAGGTAAGTCTTTGATCGGACGTGAGATTCGTAGTGTTTCTCAACACAGTATTGCTCGAATATTATCCTCACTACTAATTTGTCCAATTCCACAACCGCGGTTGAGAAATCATGCACGGTTTCGCTTCAAAATTTAAATCAAGAAAAATAAGAACGGTTCTGTAGTTAGGATTTTTAAACAGACCATATCAAAATCTAGCTACTTTGCTATGTCCAAACGGAAAATTACAAAATTTGAAAGGAAAATGACCTAAAACACTAAAGACCAAACGGAACTAATTCAAAATACTTATACCAAAAGTGAATCAGATTTTTTTTTTTTAAATGAAAGCAAACTCCGTTTTACCGTAATTATTTTAAATTGGACCAAATAAACCAAAATCATATATATAAAAGTAGATATTTTAATCATTACATAAATACGATATTAACTAAATCAATATCTATTTATATTAAAAAATTTATTATATCTTAACTAAAACAAAGCCAAACCAAACAGAAAATTCATCAAATTAAACCAAGCTATAAATGATTTCATTTGATGTTAGTTTCTATAAAACTGAT